TAGTGTTTCTTCAGAGAAGTCTGATGTCATCCGGATCGGTTTCCCTTTGTAGGTTATTTGTTTCTTTCCTCTTGTCATTCTCATTATCTTTTCTTTACCTTGTAATCTTGGAATTTTTATTATAATATGTCTATCTGTTTTTCTCCTCATCATGGTAGTTTGGGATTCTTCTTGCTTCTAGGATGTCTACTTTCATCTCTTTCAAATTAGGGAAGTTCTCTTCTAAGATCTCTGTGAATATTTTCTCTATTCCTTAGCCTTTCTCTTCGCCTTCTGCGATACCTATAACTCTGATCTTTCCTTTCCTGATGGTGTCAGATAGCTCTTGAAGTGTTTCTTCATTCCTTTTCCTTTTTACTGCTCTTTTCTTTTTCTTTTTCTTTTTTAATTCTCTTTGTTTCTGTGTCTTCGAGGGTGCTGATTCGTTCTTCCATTTCATCTATTCTGTTTTCATAACTTTTCCCAGCATTCTTTATCTCTTCTAGTGGCCTTTTCATCGCCTGCATTTCTTCTATTTACTTTTTTAATGGCTCATTTTCTTTCTTCAGTTTGCTGATTGCTTGTCTCATATTTTTTTCATTTCTTTCATTCATTTCCTTGTTCGCATTCTTCAACTCCTGGATGGCTTGCCTCATTTCATTTTGTTTATCATGATGATTCTGAATTCTTTTTCTGGTAGGTTGAGCAGTTCTTCTATTTCTTTGGTGGTTTCTGTTGGCTGATCTTTTTGTGTTGAATTTCCCCCCTGTGGACTTGCTTGAATATTTGTTTGTCTTCTTTTCCCAGTTGTGTATTTTCTAATACTTTCTATTCGCTGAGATATGGTGTTGCTAGAAACTTAGGTTTTTAAGTTCAAATTTTTAACTATTGGCAGCTTTTTTTTTTTTTAAGCATTGAATGGGGTGATGGGATGCCCAAAATATGTCTGTGGGCTGTTTTTTTTTTTTTTTTCCCAACTACTGGTTTGTGATATTTGTTGCTATCCCACCCTGAAGGTCTCACAGTCTGTCTCTATTTCATCTACCCAGTGTCTCTTGCTGCTTTCAGCTGTCCTACATTTTGGGTAGAGAGAACTGCTTCCCTCTGTCCAGACAAGGTGGTTCATTTGCTTGTCTAAGGCTTAGCTCCTTTCCATGTTAACCCTCACATGGACCACGTATTATTGCCCTCCAAATGTCTTTTGCAATCCTCAGTGCAAAAGTCTGGTTTCAGCTACTATGGAGTGCTTTCATCTCTTAAGTGTTTGGCTCTCGTCACATGTTGACCATTACCATTGACTTCCAATATGTGTATTGTCACAGATAAGTTGCATCCTTCAGGGTAAGAATATGGGATCTGTTTTCAGATGTGGTAGAGTCTCAGGTGTGACTGGACTTAGATGGGATGGTGACTCTTGTCTGCATGATTGTTTCTTTTAAATGTCCTCTTTGAATGCAGGCTTAGAAAGTGCTTATTTGTTTGCTTATACAAGCTGAAATTTGGTGCCCTTCACTTAACAATTTTGTCACCTTTACACATATAACATTTTTTATTTCTTGCACTTTGTGCAGTTTTCTAAAGGAGCAGAGACCATGTCAGTCAAAGGAAGTTTTTTTGTATGTCCAGTGTTTTCTCTTAAATTTCAATAGGATTTTCATAAGAAACTGCTTTTTCACTTGGAAACTGACCATACATATGAGCAATTGCTTTCTTGTCAAATCCTGAGAGAATTTTAATAGTTACCATCCTATTGCCATTTCTAACTATGCTTTCTTTTGTAAGCCCGATCATTTGAGTTGTTTATTTTTCTCAACATTGGTAAACATTTCCAAAATGTGAACTTATTCATTTTGCTTGATATTACAACATTTGTGAGGTTATGCTTTGCTTCTCCCTGGATACCTGACTTGCTTTTTTCTTCTAAACAAAAGTTATGTATTACCTTTTAAATCCCATAGTATGGTTTTGTGCTTAGGTCTGTCACTTCTGCCATGGGTAACATTAGTGACACTCAGCTATAAAAATAAAAGTACTCACAGATTTAAAACTGGCTTATATAAGTGGTCTTTTGAGTCTAAAGCTTCTCTTTATTGTTATTTTACAGTACACTGGAAATTTCAGCAGTAGAATTCTATGTTATCATGTTGTCAGTTGACCACATTGCTTATTGATTTTTGTGTGTTCTTAGGTGCCGTGATACTCTTGGGAAGAACCAATATGTTCCGCTTTAACCACCCAAAGGAAGCAGCCAAACTCAGGGAGAAAAGGAAGGTGAGCAGCATGAAGCCCCTTGCCAGGAACCTCTGATCTGGGTGGCGCTGGGGGCTGGGTCTTTACCTGGGCTCCAACAGTTTGACTCTCTGGAGCATAGAATAACTTGGAAAGTCATTCTTGGACTGATTCTGGAAACTTTGTGTCCCCACAGTTGGTTGGCTGAGGAGGTAGGAACAGAAAAAATCCTGTCTTGGACTCTCCACTCCCATAAAGGAATTGGGCATCATTTTGCCTCGAGTGGAGAGTGACTCCACTTACAAGTCTACTTTAGGAGTTAACCCAATATCAGAACCATCTCATTCAGACAACTTACTCTATTTTCCTGCACAGAAGATGTGGAGTTTTGATTGGTGGGAGGGAGGTTTAGAACAGTCAAGGCGTGAGTTTAGATCAGTTAAGAGAGTTCAGCTTGAGTGAATGGAAACATCTAGTTTTTAACATTTAAGTGCTGAATAGAGGAGGTAGGCAGAGAATCAGAGGGAGGGAAGAGGGAATTGTCCATGAATATCATGCTGTCCTAGAGGGAAAAAAGTCACAGACTGTAGCTGACATTTCTGTGAGCTAGGCATTGTGTTACAGCTTCTACCTACACTCTACCAGTTTGTCTGCACAGCACCTGTTACTGTCAGCGTATTATGGATGATTGAGATGAGAACTGAGACTAACTTGTTCCCTGGCCAACAAGTAGGGAACCAGGGCTGCAGCTCTGGCCTGCCGACTCAGAAGTATTTGCCCTTCAAACTGAGTTATACGGCTCAGCCTGTTTTTGAAGCCCTGCCCAAAGTGTCAGTGCCTTAGATGGGAAATAATAAGACAGCTGCAAACCTCAGTCTTCTTTAGGGCTGCTTGTTTCAGCCAGGGAAGCCTCTTATCTGTTCCAGCACAGACTCTCCCTGGAGGTCTTTTTTGGTGCACAGTTGCCGAGAGAGAGGGAAGAAAATATGTTTGCTAATAGCTTTTCATGGAAGCAAAACAGGTCAAGCTCTTTATTTTTTGGTTTGCTTTTGCCTCTCCCTCCTTCATTTTTATCACCCAGTAAATGTGAGTGAGTGCTGCTGATAACAGGACACGGCCCTGCCCGGAAGTGGAGACTGACCAGGATGCCCTGGCCCCTTCCCTTGAATTTAATGCTGCCTGGTAGGAGAGGCCTGCAGCTGTGGAGTTCCTGGCGCATCTTCCCAATACAAGTAGGCCAGAGCTCTGTGTTGCTGAGCTGAGGACTAGAGTTTGAAATGGAGTCATAATCTGGCTGTCCCAATCTGCTGTCCTCAGTAGACAGGTTTGTGTGCTCTTTAGAAGCGTGTATGCCTCATTGCCTCTCAAGTTGAGAGCAGTGAGTCCAGGGCAATGGCCTGTATTATCTGCCGAGGTAACCACTCTGCCCTGTGTCTGCTCCTAGAGTGGCCTTCTGTCTTCCTTCAGCCTGTCCATGACTGACCTCTCGAAGTCTTGTGAGAACCTTTCCGCGGTCATGCTATATAACCCTGGGTGAGTGAACAGTAGTATCTCCTTCCCTGTGATTATTTCTGTTATGGTATTTATTGTGTTAGCTCCATTAAAGTCACTAGATAAAAATAAAACTTCTGCAGTGTGCAGACTTATCAAATCATCTTTGGGTATTTTCCAAGATCCTTTCCAATCCTTGCTATATATGTACATAATTTTACTTAGTTATAATCACTACTTAAATGAGATTGCATATTCTGATTTTTTTGCTTAACAACATAATAAGCATTAGTAAGGGTTGTTATGAGCCTCATTATCATTTTCATAACTGTCTAATATTTTAGAGTTATACTTTGATTACTTTGTGTATGATTCCATTGGCTTAGACACTTTCATCTTGTTCTATAAATTTATTATAATAACAGAGACAGTTTTGTTACCAAATAACCCGGGAAATTATATTCATTATTTCCAAGCTCTAGGGTACCACTGAGGGCATGGATGGTAGTGTTGGAAGTGGATTTCATGACTGGGTGTCTTTAGGTGGTCAGCTTAACTGCTCAAGGCTGTAGTGGTTTTTCATCAGTGCAAATTAAAATGACTGAAGGCAGGAAAATGGAGGAAAAGTCTTTGGGATCCTTTCTAGTTTTGTGAGGTTCCATAATTTTATCTTTCCTACAGGGAGAGTCTTATATTATAAAAGCAATGGAGGTAAATCTAATACCTAAATAAATCAGGTAAAACTGGTAACGGCATCTTCTAGAACTGACCTTTATTTTGGGTACTTTCAAGCCGCTGTGCTAAGCACCTCTCATCTATGAGCTCTTTTAATTTTTACAGCTGCTCTATGTCCCTCTCACATCTAGAGAATTTATTCACAATTGTTTTTGTCCATGCTTTTCTAGCTAGAGCTATGGTATGAATTCAAGTTGATCTCATTCCCAGTCATGTTGTAAACATGTTACCACCAGTTGGGCAGGTTCCATCACCCGTGGCGCTGCAGCTCAGACCTTCTCACAACCCTGGGCCATGTGCTCAGCAGCATCGCCCACTTAGCTCAAGGCAGGCCTCTCATTTGTGGAAAGCAGACGTGTCCATAGGGAATGCCGTCATTGTTATAGTTTGAAACTGGGAGGAACTTTTGATCGTGATTTTGGAGGCCTTATTTTATAGGTGAATGATCTGATGGTTTGAACAAAAAATAGTAATAGTAACAATAATAATTATGACAACAGCAACAACAACCAAGACCCTAGTTAGTGCAACAACAGGATTACATGCTACGGTGCCTCTCCCTCATTCCAGAGCTTCTGGAGGTTAGAAACAAGTACCTTAACCCTTTGTATTAGCCTTTGTGTCCTCAACCTTTACATCGTAATACATGATTATTGAGGAGAGTTGTGCTCAGTAAGGAAATCTGTCTCAGAACCAGCCATATTGATAATACCCCTGAAACATGACAGTATTTCAGAAGAACTGGTGTATCTGTACTGTAGAAAAGGATTTTGTTGTATTGATAGCTCTTTAATTCCTTATAGTAGTTTTAGCTACTGCGTTCTATTGTAAATGGCAGTGAATTACTTACATGCTCACTTTTTTAAAAGTTTAACATAATATACGAGACTTTATGGTTAAGTTCAGTTTAAGTATTGAGATTCCAGTTGTTCAGTTCTGTTCTGGGATTTTAAGAGTGCTTTTTGGATGCAGGACCCACTTCCAACCCTGGAATTCAGGTAACTAGAATTCTTGTCCGTGATGGTGGTGCTGCCTACTGTGAACCATTTGGAAATACTCCATGTCTGATCAGCACCTTCCTCCTAGACAGAGTCACCAGCTGTGGGCCCTCTTTCCCTAGCATTTACAGGTGGGATATGAGCCCTTCATTTTTCTCCCCAGAACATAGGAGAATGCATAATTCTCTTAAAAGATGCCTTTTGTTTTTTGCTTGCTTTTAAGTTCAAATGGTTTTTCTTGGTATTTATAAGATATAGGTCAGAGTGTACTAATATTTGTCCTTAGACCTTTTTACTAATGTTTTCCATGGTCTAAAAAGTAAAAGTTCCAGCACCTCACCATGTCACTCAAACTCCCCACCACCTGCTTCTTCATTTCCTGCACTACCATTTCACCTTCCATTTTCTTCATTTGCATTAGTTGGAATGGCCATGCCTTTAGTTGGGGGCTTTTCCTTTGCTAATTCCAGAGCCTGGCATGCATTGCAGATGCCACCTACTTGTCCTCCAAGATCTAATACATGTAGTCTCTCCTCCAGAAACTGTCTCAAACGTTCCTCTCCACTTTTAAAATAAATATTCCTCTCTCACTCTGCCTTGCTTCCTTTTTCTGTCATTCTGATCTTGTTCTTTGCAGTGGATACCCATCTTTGAACAAGGCTTTTCTGTACAACTCCTTGGAAACAAACTTCATTCCAACACAGGATTGCAGTCACCAACATCATCATTTACAGCTGTTGGAGGAGAAAATCAGTCATAAGTCACTCACAAACAAATACAGAAAGTGAAAATGAAATGAAATGTTTTGGGGAAGTACTGAATGAAGTGAGCAGGGAAGGCTTATTGAGGAGGAGACATTTAATGTAAGACTTGAGCGATGGGAAGATGATACTAATGCAACAGAAGGGGAGGAAGAAGAGTCTTCCTGGCAGGGGGAAAATAAGTACAATGATGTTGAGATGTGTAGATAGATTGTGGTAGGCAAGAAGAGTAGAAGGTGAGGTTGAGGGAAGCCAGGTGAGGTTGAGAGAAGCCAGGGGCAGCTCATGTAGGACTGTGCAAATACTGGAAGAAGGTTGATTCCAGGAAACCATTAGAGAGCAGGAGAGTGGCCTGATGGTACACTACTACAAATCTTAGGGTGTATGTCATTTGGAGGACAGCAGCATAGAAAGGTATTTACTTGGTTCAAATAAAAGTTAGCAGTGACTTGTAGATGAGTGGTCACTACAGAGACAGAGAACTTTGTGGACTCAGGCTAAACCCCAGCTTTCAGGGTTAGACAGTTGGACAGCTGATGTGTCCACTCCTGACATGCAGATGCAGGGAGGACCAGTAGTCAGGCATTTTGGTTCTTGTCTTTCCCATAGTGTAAATGTTTGTTGAAGAAAGGCTCCTATTACAAATTCCTGCAATTTAAAGTGATATTCCTATAACATGCTTGATAAGCAGTGAAGAATAAAATTTTAATGTGCACCTGAGTCCTTTCTCTGGGCATGTGTGTTCCAAATAGTGAGAGTCATATTATATGAAGGAAAGCATTTCTGAGGCATGGATCAGTTCCCAGATGACACCTGAGTTCAGGATCCCCAAGTAAATGGGATGAGAAGAGGGATGAAATAAAGAATTAGAATTCAGATGAGAAGCAATCTGCATGTAGACTGCCTTGCAGGTAGTTTAGGGGTGCTTCTTTGTAGTTAAAGACATGAAGATGTTAGAAGTCTTTAAGAATGCCTCAACTTAGAGGACAGTGAGGGCAGAGCACTAACTAAAGCTTAAATTGAGGACATCTACCCCTTAGGGATCTCAGATCACTCCCCTCAGCTGTGCTTCAGATTTCTCTCCAGGAAGTGAAATTGTTGGGTCATATGGTAAAATTATATTTTTAATTCTTTGAGAAACTGCACATCATTTTCCACAGAAGCTCTACCATGTACATCCCTACCAGTAGTACATAAAGGTTCCAGTTCCTCTACATTTTTGAAAACAACTGTTTTCTGGGTTTTGATAGGAGCCACTCTGATGGGTATGAAGTGGTATCTCATTATGGTTTTTCTTCACTCTGTGTTTTCATTCCATTTTCCCAAGAATGTCCAATTGAGAAAATAATGTTTGGAAACTCAGAAAGAAAAATCTCAAAATTCACCCCTATTTATTAGTAAATAAATGATAAATGTATGCATACCTGATCTATTTCCTGAGGAATACATGTCCTTTCTCAGCCCGACCATGTTCAAGCATCTCATTCACATATATCCGAAAACCCATTCACAGGGTTAGGAGTCCAAGGAGTGTTTCCTGCTAGGATCAGTGCGGCCATCTTTGCATTGAGAGGGGTCACTGGTAACTGCATAATGAGGCACTAAAGATGACATGGACTGAAGATGGATGGACAGTGGAGAGAGGGCCTGAACTGAGGCTGTACTCGAAAGAAATTAAAAGAAGGGTGAGCACTAGTGGTGTTCAGGGTAGGGAGTCACAAGACCTGGTCAGCTAGTTGTGTGTAGGAAGTAAAGAAAAGATGACTTCCATTTTCTGACTTAAATAATGATTGGATGTTACAGCTCCCCAGCCAAAATACAAATACAAGAGGAGGAGAATCAGGTTGTCGGGAGGCAAGTATGGTAAGGAGTACACCCTTGAAAAATGGGGTCCTGGGCCCTGAACTGTCTCCAGTAAGTGGCCATGTTTGAATACTGTATCAGACACCAGATGCTCCGCAGGAAAAGCTGGGGTTTGTGTGGCTTGTCAAGGCACAGATGAAAGCAGTTGCCCCTTCTGAATAAGATCGATGTTCCCAGTTCTATCACTTTTCCCCATTCATTCTGCTGATGTTTAAGAGCCCATCATTTGTCTAATCCTGTGCTGGACTGGGCATGACATACCCTTAGGAGCATGTTTTAGTGCTCAGGGAAGATGATGTGCAAAACCTGTTAGAAACCAGGTACCTTAGCATTATCTTTTATATGAAGCCTAGGCTATTTTGGGGTGATTTTCAATTTGGAAAGCTGTGCAGTTCAGTGCAGACCTAGGTTTCCCAGTGGACTACATCACATTGCAGTGGGTGGGCTCACTGGTCACTTTTGTCTTCGTGGAATCAGCAGGTGGCCAAGGCCTGGTGATAATGCAGAGCCTGGTGCCCTTGCCTGCCTTGCTGCCTCTCTAGGATCAGTTTTAACAAACAGGAATTAACAGGAACTGGTGGGGCCCAAAAGATTTGCTTGGGAACTTTTTCCTTGTCTTTTAAAAACTTGCTGCCTCTTAGGCAAACTAGCATTTAGCCTTTTAAATCATTATGAAATGTGTTTT